ATATTACCAAGTTGAATCGAAGCTTTGCGACATTTGTGAAGGCGATGAATGTTCGACAAAGTGCTAAGCACCAACTGATGTGATCATTCGATAATATTGTTAAATGATTTACTTAAATATATAAAGAAATGATTATAGATTTGGCTGTAGCTTATTGCTTGCTATTATATCTTAATATTACTTATTTACTTTGATGGTCTTACTCTCTTAAATTGTAATATACATACATACATACATGTATACAGGCAAATTGAAAATATGTTTAATTTCTAGCCGGAAAAGTCTGTAGCGACTAAAGTCTTAGCACAAAAAAGCGTATTCGATACTATCAGCAATTTAGTAGATAAGTTTTCAGATTCTAGCTCTAATATTGTAGAAAATGCCGTTAAGCCCGATTTGCAACTGTCCTAAACAAGAGTTTAGCTTTCTAGCTCTTCAGCGGACGAACGGATGTATTTACCTATGCTTTCTGCATATTCAACATTAAATATTATACCTGAATTTCCCATTTTCAATGAAGTTCAGGTTATGAAAATTGCGAAATGTTTCATGTCGAATATTATTTCTCTTCTTCACTGATATACATATACATATGTACATACACACATACATATACATACATATAACAATTAATCATCAAATGTTTAATTTCCCATTTCACAGGTTGAGAGTTAGGCGGCCTAACTTAGGCCCTCTCTTTCACTCGAAAGGGGGAATACCATTTGCCACAGAGCGAACGAAACTTTGTTTACCGTATCAATGTGAAATACACAGCGTAGTCCAGAAGATGACGTCATTGAAGAGAATATTTCCCATAATAATAAAAGCAAACACACACACACAGATAGAGAGAGAAGGTCAAAACAAAGAGCAACTGAGAGAATTTCTCAGATACCAGCTGACATTTGTGCCATCCGCCGGTTTGGTTGGCACTCCCGATCAAAACGCCCATTAGTGCGTCGAGTGTTTCATAAACAAAAGCAAGTTTATTTCGAGAACGAAGAAATAAAGATAAAGACCCTCCAACAAGTCAACAGCAAAACATTCTGTAAACCGTAAACAAATCGCTCAACATTTGTTCACCAAACAGCGACAAAATTTTGTGGTTCACGGGAAAAATTAGTTCTGGGAATTCCACGGTGACAAAAGTACGTCAATAATTTTAATTTGTGTCCAGTTTATGTGAATATATTACATACATACATATACATTTCATTCCTGTGTACGTGCCTACCTATTAAAACAGGAAAAACCTAGTGAATCTATTGTGCACGCGATAAACACTGAATCTTTAATGAACGCTAAATATATAACAATTAAAGTGCTAATTACAAAGATGAAATTAATTTTTTTTTTTTGCAGAGTTTACTATTCATTGAATTTTAAAATTTAATTAACCAATTGCATGTTATGGCTTGATAAATACATTATATGACTAATACATACATACATACATATGTACATACGTTAATTCATCATATTGTAGAAAGATCTATCTACATTCAAATGAATATTTTATAGATTTGGCTCAACTCATACATTTATCGTATAATTTGTGTGAGGTTTGTTGTGAAATGCTTTGTATGAAATCATTTATAGAATCTATCACATATAGAAAACTTGACTAATCGTCTAGTTGTATGCGTGAGTCACAAAACAAATAAAGATTTTATTATATTGCACTTAAAGGCTTAAGTGCTAATCCATGCGAGATTATCGGCAATTTAATTTTCGAAATATTTAATTAATATATATTTTGTACATATATGTGTATAATATGTATGTACATTATACATATTTCTTTTAATATTTTTTGTACATATGTATATGTATGTACATATATATTTTTTTAAATTTATTTAAAAAGAAAACAAATTTAACGATCAGCAAACATTTAATTGCATTATATTGTTTATGATTATTGTGCTTTTTTCCGTCGCGGTCAGCGTCGACATCTCTAGCTTGGCCGCAGTCCCGAAGCCCCCGCGCACACATTTCTACCTATAAATATACATACATACATACATGTTCATACATACAAGCAAGCATACAAACAAAGCTATAACAAATCTCGTATGTCACCGGCTCAACCAGTCGCAGCTCAGCTCTGAGCCCGGTCGGTTGTGGCAACGCTTGGCAAACCACTCTGAGAATTATATATTTTTTAAAATTCCCAATTGACTCTTGCCACAGTCTATACAGATACAGTTATTTACAAGTTATTGGTTTTTCCTTCATTTCCATTTTAAACCAACAAAATGCGTCGCTCAGGCGCTTTTGCTGTCATCGCTTGTGCTACTCTGGCCCTACTAAATATGGTCGATCCGGTAAAAAGTGAGGGGTAAGTACAACTCCTGTCTATCTTTCTGCTAAATAATTTTGAATATATACATATGTACATACATATTTTTGGTGTTGGCTGGTTTACCAAGGGCAAAATCATCATGAGTTTATACTAAATATGATTTTTAATATTCATGTGATAATTTTTATGTACAATTTAATTAATTCCATTAATATATGTATTTGGACATTGGTTCAGTGAATTAGACAATATGCGTAGATGATGTTATTTTAGAAACCAGTTTACACACAAAATATTTCATATTTAATATATGTACATATGTATACAATTTATATACTTGATATAATTATGTTTATTTCTACAGAATTATTTAACAGCTTGTATAGTTATTAGCACTTTGTGACTAAGACCATTTACATACATACATATGTACGTATATTTGCTCAGATCATTAGCAGTTGCATTTTAAAAGTTCTTTTTTACGATAGAACAGTCGTAAAAAAACCCATTACTAAATAAACAAATCACGTTTATTGTTTTTTAAATATATTTGCATGTCTAAATTATGCCTCCACAAAAGCCAGTTCATTATTTGTTTATACTTATATTATATCTTCTTCAAAATCAATGTCACACATACATACATACAATGAATTTCTATATAGTATTTATTAGAGAAACCCCAATTTCGCAATATACTTAAAAATCAGACTTGGCCACTCAGTTCAGTTTTTTGAACTCTGTTTAATCCATCCGCGTTTTTATATATATGTATATATATACGTATATCATATATTACATCACCGACTCTCGAAGCAGGTTTTAACAGATCAGGTTCTGGGAATATTTACCGTTAAGCATGTGCCGAATAGTGTTTTACTTTTTCTCGGAAACGAGACAATGTAAAACAAAATACGTTTAATGTCAACTGATAGTGTAATCAGTTGGAACAAAAAATGTAAATTAGGCTACACAAATAAACTCATGTAATTATTAAGTAAATCTAAGCTAATGGGTGACCTAGTGTTATGGCATTATGAAATCGATGTCAATCTGCACTGATTATAATTGAGTTCATATTTCGTTGCTCACCGCAGACAATACACAATCGTTGGCCCGGGAACCATACACTCTCATCGCGATTACAATGTGTCTGTCGCCGTGCATCACACCAAGGAGCCAGTTACCTTGAAGATTGGTATTACGGGACCCTCGTACAATGAGACGCAAACGGTCGAGTTGCCAAATGCCGATGAGTTCAAGCAGATCACCTTCACGTTGCCTCCTCTTAAGTCGGGTGACTACAACTTAACCGCAGAGGGTGTCTCTGGACTTGAGTTCAAGAACTCCACGCAGCTCAGTTTGGTAGAGTTTAAGCCCTATGTCAAGGTACAAACCGATAAGGGCAAATATAAGCCCGGTGACACCATCAACTACCGCGTAATCTTCCTAGATGAGAACCTTAAGCCGAGTTTGGCCGAAGACGATGTAGTTGTATGGTTCGAGGATCCCAAACGCAATCGTATCAAGGAACTTAAGCACATCAAGACCCGTGGAGGAGTCTATACCGGAAAGTTCGAGTTGTCAGACTTTGCCCTCTTGGGCTCATGGACACTTTCGGTGCAGAATGGCGATTCATATTCGGATGAGCGGGTCTATTTTGAAGTTGAGAAGTACGTACTCCCCAAATACACCGTCACAATGGATGCCACTCAGCATGTATCAGTGAAGGATGGTGACATGCAGGTTGTTGTAAAAGCAAAGTAAGTAACCTTGTCCCATGCTCTTCCTAGCCCGAATACAACTTGAATCATTCTATCAGCTACACGTATGGCAAACCAGTAAATGGCAAGGTACTTCTCAATGTACACACCGACGAATCAAGCACCTGGTCCACCGTAAATGGTGAATCTGTCCGCACAGACACGCCGGGGCACGCTCTCATCCGAACTGCTGACATGGTCAACGGCAAGGCGAAATTTGATATTAATGTTAAGGAATTCGCTAGTTTTTTGCCATATAAAAC